AGACGGGTCTCTTTTCCTTAGGAAATTGGTAGTACACCGTACTATTTATCAAAGTGTCGGTGGACCCCGTGTCGATCAAAAATCGACACTTTGTCGTCCTTACCATCCCATCAACAAGCAAACCATAACGAGCTCCACTACTAGGATTAGGCAGAGTTTTGACTCGTTGCCCATCCCCAGGCTTTGACCTTTTCTCTCCACCACCACCCTCGCTGTCACTGTGTTGTCTCTTGAACCCTTTTAACCTCTCAGCCCTCCCACGGGTTCTACGGGGGGCTGACTGACGTTTCCCTGCTTTGGAATTTTCTTGCACTCCCGGGCAAAGTGCCCTTTGTCACCACATCTGAAACACCGCAAGGCCCCAGGTTCAGGCCTACCGGGCTTGTGAGTCTGGGGAGACAACACGCCCTTACCCTGACCTTGACCTTTAATCTGACTTGACAAAGACTTCACCAATTCAGCCACAGAGTCCAAAGTTTTGGCCTGCTTATTGAGATTTTCTTCGAGAGTGTCCAGCCTCTGTTCAGTTACTGAACCCAAAGCTCTCGCCAATTTGGCGGGCTTCCGGTCCAGCAATCTGTGCTGTTCCACCTTCTCGAAATTCTCAGTCTCCAGGGCAGCCTGGATTGCTTCATCCAAAGTTTTTGGACGAGCCCTATTGATGCCCTTCCTAACTGAATGACTGTCAACAGCATCTATGAAGTGGTTCTTAGCCAACCTCTCACGAGCATCTTCCTGCAACTCAGGGTATGCTCTCGCTGTCAATTCGTGAATCGCTTGCCCTAGTTCAAGCAGAGTCTCCTTCGGCTTTTGGCGCCGATGTCTCAGTTCGACGAGATAATTTTCACTCTGTCGAGCTGACCCAAACCTGCGCTCCAGCAACTTTACAAGCGCACTATACGTGTACTTGTGGCCAGAGTCACCGAATAACCGTAGAGCGTCTCCCTGCAAGCTTGCGGCTAACCACCTCGCAGCCTGCTCCTCGCTCCACATATTCACTATACGACACGACTCAAAATGGCGGAAGTACTCCTTCCAGAGCACCTTTCCGCTGTACCGATCAGGGGTTATGTTTGGCCTGCGATTTGGTCGCTCCAAACTACCCATCTGACCCACATCACCATGGACCCGTGCCTCTCTTTTCAGTGGCCATGGACCTACCGACGAGATGTCAACTTGAGCTGAACTGTTGTTCTTCGTCTCGACTGGTCGAGTCGCAAAACTTAACAATTCGCTCTTTACCTGTTTAGGGGTTACCATCCCCATGTCACCAACGAACGGGTCAGTACTTGCCAAACCCCGTTCCGCGCCACCTTCAGGGATGAACAACATCTGATCACCATTTGTATCATCTGTCTTCCTGGCAACAGGCGTCGACTGCGCTCGGGGGAATATCCCTGAGCTCCGTCCTTTCTGAGGTGTACTTTCCATGAAAGTCACCTCCCTCCCCACTTTAGGGGCTAACTCAGGCACCATATTTGCGCCTTAAACTCTCCCAGTTGCTCCAGAGACATACCCGGAAGTCTCTTCGGGCAACCTGAGCTCAACATCGGAATCAACCCGATGGAGCACACGCCGGCTTCCACCTGGCATGTCCATGTTTCCTTCCTTTGGGGAAACACCCGACTGCAACTCCATGGCAGCCTTCAACTTCTTTGCAATGAGGTCATTTTCCCATTGCAGAAATTGGGCTTCCAAACGAAGTCTTTGCACCTCGGCCTCAGCACTTGAGGTGCCCACTCGACCCTGCGAGCCTTCGCCCATAGTTCAAACAACCACTGAAATCACCACAGAAATAACAACAACAATTCAACAATTCTGCAATTCAATTATTCAACAGAGAAATCAACTTAATCATTCACAATCATCCCACTTCTGACACCATTTGTGGTGGGAACCCCCGGGCCAACCGAAGTCTGTTAGGATAAGTCTAACTCCTAGTGGGGTGAAGACAATCTTCCCAAACCAAGGCTCTTCCCTAGACGAGAGATCACTCAGAGCGATCTTCAAGGCTAAGGGTGAAGGTCCGTTTTGGTGGAAATCTACCGCCCGATTATGAATGAGTGTTGATTATTTATCTCCGTTAATTAATTGCACAATAATCCTGTAAACATAAACACTGAAAGCAGAATTGTCGGTAATCTCAAACAACAATGATCGTAATTTATTCAACAATAATAAAGTACAACAATTAGGATGTGATTCGGTGGGTTGTTTTATTAACAGGGTCCTTAGTTACTGGAGATAGCCCGCTGCTAGCCTATGCAACAATGCACACAGCATTAAGCTCTAGACAACAATGGCAGCAATGAGCAACTATGCACAGCTCTAGTAATAAATCGCTAAGTTAGCAATATCACAGCATCACAAGTGCACAACAGCCGCTTAGCAATGTATACAGTCCTATAGCAGGGTACCCGCTACGCCGTGCGTGTAAGCCAGAATTCAGCTACAAATAGCAGCGCAACCCCAGTACAGCTACACCGACTTTGTACACAAATCGCCTAAGCAATTACACACGCAGAGTACAAGTAATTTACCTACTTCTCTGCCCGCTGTTGCAGCTACACCCGGCACTCAACACCGAAGACAGCTGAGCCCCAAAACTATACACTCAACCAGCTATAGTTTCTCACCTAACAACGATCACCACAACTGCATCAATCAGTCCCAACAACTAAACCGCTAGAACCCAAACCTGGTCTGAAAGCAGAACTAAAACCACGCGCGCTCCCCAGGCACGCATTTATATACATGTACCAGACGCTACGTCATGTCTACAAACCTCGTGCATGCACTAACCCTATGGTGCGCTTAACCTATGGGAGTTATTGGCCAATCACGTACGCGTAGCAGCCCACGGAGCTCGTAAGCTCCGCCCGGTCACTGCACACAAGTGATTAAGCGTTAGTGTTATGGTATGACGTCACAACTAAACACTTTCTGATTATGAAAGTCCAATTCATAAGCTTTTGTTTAATACAAGAATCATTCAAATCACTTAAGTACTTTTCAATCTACGGAATTTTAAACACAACCACCGTTTTAAAGTTCTGTCCACGGATCACAAAAAAAGTGTGCACTCTTTCAGCAAAACGAAAACAACTCACACACATTCTTACGTGATTCGTTTTCGTTTTGCTGAAACAACACTTACCTTTTTGTGATCCGTGGACAGAACTTTAAAACGCTGGTTGTGTTTAAAATTCCATCACTTAAAAAATACATAGGTGATTTGAATGATTCTAGTACTAAAAGAAAGCTTATGAATTGGGTTTGCATATAAAACAATGGTCCCAACATTTGGGTTTCGGTTTTTATTAACTCACCCTATATACGTGCAAAATATGCTGCTATTTCACAACAACGAGTGAATATAGAATAGCGAAGAGGAAAAACTGCAAAATAGTATAAAATGTAACAGTTTGGCAATGTATCGACGCCTCTATCTTTCCATATGGGGACCAGGTCCACTGCAATGTGCGCTTCTTTGCCAATGCTATTCTGCTCTTGATGTCTGTTACTCTGTAGCAAACCAGTCGTGTAAAGTCAAGCCCTCTGTCCCGCTTCTCCACTTTATTTCATCTGAACGGTTCAAACTGTTTCTTTCTGCAATAATTGTGCAAACTATAGGTAATTGAACCATATGATGGTAAAAATAAGGCAACTTTCTTTGTAGTCCCCTGGCTGATGTATCAGTGTGGTTGTATAAACACGCTATAGCATTCATTCTTTTTTTTTTCTGATATAGGATTGTTAATGCGTGAATTTGGGCATGATAATTTGTTATAATAACATAGAAATCAAAATTTCTCTTTTAAATTGAGCTTAGACTATTTTATTAACAACCGTCATTTCATCAGCACGAATGTTGCTTTATTGTTAACTTAGAAGATAAAAATATATATTCTTTATGTGTGTCCTTATATTGCTATTCTATTTGACATCTTATTCATTTTATTCCTAATTGATAGCTATTAATTTGTTATGACGATTCATTTTTTTGTATGAAGTATTTCAAATGTTTTGTTATATTTGTACTTTATTGTAAATCACTCACAATTCAGCCTTTGGGATGCGACGAATCGATAATAAAACCCTTAAATTAAATTGAATTGAATTCTCGTTTCATCAACGACTTTCCTTCAACTTCCTGGATTCATGTGTCTTGATAATTGCCACTGCTGAACCACGATATTGCTTTAACTGTTTTAATCATTATAAGATGGAATTTTGCGTCGGGGTGATATAAATCAAATTAGGTTTTGCCCTTCACCGACATTTTTTAACACTGTATACTCAGTGTGTTACCTCCCGAGTGAAAGTTAGAAAAAAAGTTAGAAAAAAATCACTCGGGTGGGACTCGAACCCACGACCTCCTGCTTTCTAGTGCAGATGTCTTACCACTCGACCACCAAGCTAACGGGATCGGTTGGCCGGTTCGAATCTGATGTACATAGCAGCGGGCACCGCATAAACTATTATAAGATGGAATTTTGCGTCGGGGTGATAAAAATCAAATTAGGTTTTGCCCTTCACCGACATTTTTTAACACTGTATACTCAGTGTGTTACCTCCCGAGTGAAAGTTAGAAAAAAATCACTCGGGTGGGACTCGAACCCACGGCCTCCTGCTTTCTAGCGCAGATGTCTTACCACTCGACCACCAAGCTAACGGGATCGGTTGGCCGGTTCGATTCTGATGTACATAGCAGCGGGTACCGCATAAACTATTATAAGATGGAATTTTGCGTCGGGGTGATATAAATCAAATTAGGTTTTGCCCTTCACCGACATTTTTTAACACTGTATACTCAGTGTGTTACCTCCCGAGTGATGTTTTAATCATGTTTCTTCTTTCTACTTTCGTTATAGATTGACATTCTGGATCGCTATCTCTGCATACCCACGACCAGTGATAATAATACGCCACTATTCAAGTACGCCAAGGGCATAGCCCCCGTTCCATCCACGGCAATTCTAGAGCTGCCTGGTACTCTCATGTCATCCATAATAACCACAGTAGAAGTCAACCACACTATCGCTTTAATCGGGACATCGAGGGGGCATCTACTCAAGGTAAATTATCCCAAATCGATTCAAATGTGTGGCTGAAGTCGTCGTAGAGCCTAAATTGGAATGTGTAGCAAAAGTTTTATTTCAAACCATTTCGTTCACACCCCTTGCACTCGAGACTTTGGTAACTATCACGACGCATTGATTTTTTTTTTTAAATGAGAAACAATTAGCTAGTTTTGGTTTCTCTTAATAAATTGGCTTGCATGAACAAACACTCAAGGCAAGCAATGCATGCCGGGTTGACCATGTCCATGTCAAAACTTAACTCTCTATGTACAATGTCGGTGTTAACAGATTGTTTAAGTAATATATATGTGTCATAATTATGCATCTTGTCTTTAGGTTCATGTGGAAAGTAACACTACCAGCCGACTTTATGAACGCATTAGCGTTGACACCAGTCCTGTTCTGCCAGATGTCAAGGTTAATGAATCAACAGGTGTAATATTTCTCTTGACAGAACAAAAGGTAAGCGCATACCTAACCTGCCGAGGAGGAATGCTTTTAACTGAATAATAACTTTCTCTGCTTGATTTAGCGTCCCTCATGGGCTTCGCATTAGCAGAAAGTTGACAGATTTGTCAACAGAAAAGTCAAAAGCTAAGCTGACAAGCAAATGTGTTTTTTTAACAGCAACCAGATTTCCAGTCATTTATGAAAAGCCACAGAAACCATTCGGTGCTTTGAGTATTATTTATAACAACGAAAAGCATAGCAAATTTGGCCAAATGCACACAATAAACATTGTTCCTTTGCTTCGTAAACTAAAAACCAGATTCAAGATTTTAAGAAAAAAACTTTCCTGATGATGAAATTAATACTTTTTAAGATTGTAAAAAGAAGTTACAATATGTTTTACACTTTAGTTGGTGAAGCTTCGCGTTGAGAATTGTGGCCAATACACTACATGCGAAACGTGTATTGGGACTGATGCAGGGAATGATGGAGACCCATATTGTGGATGGTGCACTCTGGAACGAAGGTAAGTCACACGGGATGTCTCCAAAGTGTGTGAGTGGGTCGTTCGAGAAGTTGTAAGAACGGTAGTCTATTACACTCAGACGAGGTGCAACAATTAGGTTTCATGTATATAAGTTGTACACTCTGGAATGGAAGTAATTTATTTGGAGAGTTCCCACAGCTGGTCAGTCTAGTTGATTGTGTCAGTGAAAGAACTTCCTTTTTATTTACACTGTATATGATTAATAAAGTTCAAGGAGCCTATTCATTAATTACATGGTTGTCCGATGTTATGTGTACGTGAAAGAAACGATGTTTCTCAATGAAATCTTGAAAGTAAAGCATTGCATGTTTTTCCGTTTTGGTTTTTACTTTCCTTATCATAACATTGAATTATGTTTTAGATGTACGAGATATTACGACTGTCCATCACCAGATGTATCTACTCGATGGTTGGCCTACAATGCTGCTCAGTGCATTCATATTACCGATGTAGCGCCCTATGATAACCTACCAATAACAGTCACTGAGCAACAGGTGAGCTAGAGCCAGATGTATTGAGATTACATCTTACTCACATCTTCATAGGAACAAAATTGAAACATACTTTAAAAATAAACACTTTCTTCAAAGTGCAGATTTGTTATGGACATATCCAGATAGGCCTATAGGTATGCGGAAATATTTTTCGTCTATGCGACTCCTAAACATGTATACTTCAAGCGACGCCTATTGTTCAATCATATGAGGCTTAATTATTGTGCCTCCTTAATTGTGATGAGTAAATTTCGTATTGATTTTTCTGTATTCTTAATGAAATTTTGGCTTTGTACAGAGACCTGTTTATTTGATGTCAAATTTTTTTTTTATGTTTTGAAATTTGTGACTCTCTAAGAAAATTTGTCATACCTGTGTCTTTATACTGTATTTTCTTTGGCCCAGGACGATCACCTGACCGGGCGATAAATATGCATGGCACACTCCCGTTGTATATCACATTGTGATATCACATGCATGTAGACTAGTCCCCGCCCCACAGTCCAAACCATTATGCGCGGACCGCGTTTAAACCAGACTATACTTGTACTCACTGGTACCCCGCAGTACTTTCACGTTCTACAATATAATGTATAGCAGTGAGGGAGCAGTGCATTTGCAGACGATATTTACTTTAATTTGGCGGCCAGCGACGAGCGGCATTAAGATTATGTTTACGTTTTGACTGACTCTAGTAACGGTGCCTATAGGCCTTCAGAACTTCGGAAATGCAGAGCTGACACAGTTAGTTTTTTTCGTATACGATCCTCATCAGCCTCAACATGTCAGCTGAGCCCGGAGGCACAGATTCTCCGCCCCAAAAAGGTTTTTGAGCCGCTGCAAACAACAAATAAAAGATTTAGCTTTTGAACAAGACTCATCAAACACCAAACGTTGTACCGACTACGCAGTCCGCGTTGTACGAGAATTCTGCGAAGAAACGGGCAGGGACACTCGTTTCGAGACACTTCCTGTGAAAGAACTGGACAGAAGATTTTTTTTTATTAAACTTTTAAAACCTTTACCCCAAATTTCCCTGAACTTAAGCTTGTTTTAATGCCCCTACATCTATATATGTTGAAAGAAAATTTTTCAAAGATTCCTTCAGTTTGCCACCCTTAATTTCCCTTAAAAAAAGCAAAACACATCATCAAGACAGAGGTATGACAAAACAGTTGTTGACTGATGTGATGTGGGATATGAGGGACGCATAGCGCCCGAGGCGAAGCCGAGGGTGCTATGCGTCCCCGAGGGTGCTCAAAACGTCATATCCCACATCACATCAGTTAACAACTGTAAAATGTCACCATGTGTCGGAATGATTCAGAATGTTGTGCTTCATGTACTATACCTGTCACTCATTCTCAGGTATTTGGAGCTCACTAAATTTATTTTAACTTTGTTTACAGTATCCCTGACTAATGGAGATAACTATTGGAGTCATTGAATATTAATGAAATAAATATTAGTATTTAATATATATTTTTTACTTTCACTTTTAGATCACCCTGACTGTGCAGCAGTTACCTGATCTAGGGACAGGCCAGAGTTATGAATGTTATTTCGGGTCATTTGAATCTCCAGCTACGAAGAATGGTGAAGTACTAGAGTGTACGTCACCTCCTAGTGATGGGATACCTACCATTCCACAAGGAGGCAAGTGCAATAAGAGACACCCATATGAATTTATTCAGGGCAAAAATTTACAGAGCAAACATTCAAAAAGTCGACTTGTAATTTCCTTCTTGTCCAAACTAGAATGAAATGATGTTTGTGAACAAGCGTGTCGTTTTTCATTCAATCGCATTATTGGGCTAATCATTAGGATATCAACTTAGAGAATGTGTTCATAGGCAGTAAAATATGGTACACCGACTTGCTTCCTGTCAGCATGAAAATGATTTCTGCATTTGGTACCCACAATAAATATATATTTTAATTGTCTGTTTCAACTAATTAATGCAGAGATTTGTTCTCATTTATTGCTTAGATGATGCAGTAAGAGTAGTTTCGAGTGTTGAGTCATCTGAAACTTCAGTTCAATTCATAGACACCGACTTCTACTTCTACGAGTGTTCAACTCACACTTCGTGAGTATTCGAGCTCATATATCCTATTAATTAGTTGTATTTGAAATTCAATGTCTTTTCCTTTAGGTTGTTCAAATGCATGTTTTTTCCCCTAGAACGTCTGCCTGATGATATTTGTTTTATCTTAGAATATACGCAATTCCCTTTGGTTGTTTACGCAGATGTGTATCCTGCGTTGGTAGTCGCTGGGCCTGCGATTGGTGCGTGTTTGAGAACAGATGTACTCATGATAGCTCCACATGCACACGTGCTAATGAAATCATCATTACTGGAAATAACGTGAGAACAAGAATATACGAGCCAAACCAAGACATATTTTGAATTGTTTAAAAAGTATTATTGTACTGAAATATCTTGATTGTATAGAGTCCTATAGTTAGGTTGACTTTTCAGTAAAATACTTATTTTGCGCATTACTTAATGAAAATGGCACCGATTATTGTAATGGATATGGCCTCCCATTAAGCACCCATTGAAGTACTTTGGAAATTAGCCCATTTCTATCGGATGTCAGTTGATCATAAGTTTCAAATGTGCATTTTGGGGAGGCAATGACATATACTTTGTTGTTTGTTGGCGTTTATCCACAGAATCCAACTGCCTCTGCAGTCAAAGGACCTGCGATTTGCCCTCAGCTGCTGAACCAGACTGCTGAAGTTCTGCTTCCTAATACCATTATGAGGAACATCACTGTCATTACTACAAACCTGCCAGACGAAGCTGGGGTTTGTTTATTAATGTCTGGAAAAAAACCCACAACAAACACAATGACAATCTGTAATCTGATAACCCCCGTCTATCAGAAAGTCCATTGTCAATGCCTGAGAGTGACATTTTTCATACCAACCTTGCAACCTTGCTTAATTTATCCCCGAGAAGAAAATACAATTCCTCTTGGATTACTGTCCGATATAGTTTGCTAAATGCTATTGTTCTAGATATCTGACCTTCTTTATGACATTAAATTAAATGAATTAAATGCAAAGCGAATTGCAAAGTTATCATTAGCTGTATAATAACTATACTTTTAGGACCGCCTATGTAAACTTGAGGCCAGTGTAGTCGGTGCAGTTTCAAATGCTTTATGCACGCTATATAATATCATAAGCATTAACATTGCGTGTGCTTAGATAGAGGTTAATATTTGAATGATAAGCTGTTCTTGAATTACCATTTGATGGCATGCAATATAAACATTGCATCGCATTGTCAAGTGTTGAACTTTCAAATAAAGCTGTTTACTTCAAAAGACCTTTTACCGAGTCCATGAAAGGAAATACTGCAAAGTAAATCTTAGTTTGTAATTCTCTTTCCTGACTCACTTAACCTTGCAAAAAATACATTGGTCGTTACACCCTTTGTTTTCCATGTGCAGATTTCTAGCTATCAGTGCAGCTTAGATGTTGAGGGATCGCCACAGGTTGTTAATGCAGAACGCAATGGAATTAGGATCACATGCCAAGCTAAGGCTGTAAGTTAAAATCCAACTTTTTTTTGCCTTGGATTGCTAAAGTTTTTTTTTAATAAGAATGAAAGGCCTCACTTATTTTGTATATTGGCCGGACACAATGTTGTTGTTTTTAGCTTCAGGTATTAAAAGGTAACGTTGTTTGCATGCTTGCCTTTAACAGTACACATACCTCTCCAATGATGAACCAGAGCTGGAAGTGAGACTGTCTGTTTTATGGTCTGACACAAACGGTTTTGCGCACATCCTAGATGACATACATGGATTTGACGGTAAGGAATAAGGACTGATTAAGGAGTCAGTCAGTCTAAAATGGTTAGGTATGAAGACTTTATCCCCAAAACGTGATAAACGTCCTTTTGTTACCTTTTAGAATCACACCCACTCCTGGCTGCCCGAATTCAGTATCGAATTTAAGAATACAATCACACGAAAATGATGTTTGTTTAATATTCTTTAAAGTTCAGAACCGTGCAAACTTTTTACTTTTTTTTTTTTTTAAATGTGTATATCGCGTTTTAAAAATATACTCTTCATATGCTTTTCATCGTTTGTTATAACACTTTTCGGTTGGAGGTTGTTCTTTAAAATATTGAGCTGAAAGACATGAGATTATCTTGTATTCTGCTCATATCAAATAGTAACATTGTACAAGTGTGAAGTCCAGAAGCCAGACTGCAGCCGTTGTGTTACAGCCCGCCCAGCGCTCAAATGTGTTTGGTGTGGTGCCATGCCGAGCGAGTCTGGTGTTTGCAAACTGAATGAAATTTGCAGTGAAAATAGGGTGACTTTGGATAACAGATTGAACTGCCCTGATCCAGTTCTGAGTGAGGTACGTTATACAACTCTCCAGTTGAATATTATTCGCTTAAATATTCCAGGTGAGGCTACTTGTCAACATGTTTGTAATTATACATAGTTATCACAAAGTATCAAAGATTAATGCCTCCAAATGAGGAACACCTTGTATCCATTTGACCTGCCTGCCTTTGTGACAGAAAGACAAAGAGGAAAATTTTGTTATGTGCACGATGGAAAAATTGTTATGATTGCATAAGCAAAGGTGTTGGACCTATCATAATTATAAAGTATGCTTATATGGATGACTGCATATGAGCCACCAAGCTGAACAATTTGTCTCTCAAGAGCATCTACTAAAAATGTGTTGTATTGAAATACATTGTTTCATGATACATGTACTTGCGTTTGTGCGTTATGGTATTATTGTTTCCAAATCACGTATTAGGTATTTCCCTTGACTGGGCCCATTGAAGGCAACACAGTCATAGATGTGATGGGAACTGATATCGGTCGGAGATCGAGTGATGTTGTGAGGGTGATGGTTGGCGATCAACCATGTGATCTGGCTGGATTAAGCTCAGACTACCAACTCGGATCAAGGTAGGGTCAAATCATACTGCATGTAAGGACATTACCTTTTTATCCAAGCATTGACTAATGGCCATCTATTCAGTTTTTCGTCTTTTTGTTAACATATTAAAAAAAAAACTTTCTAACGGAAGTATTTTGTTCTCTGTCAGTTATAATACTTTTTTCCATCGTTTACAGGCGAAGCGGTACGCTGTGCATAAAAATTGTTTGGATTTCTAATCATTTTCCCTTTAGAATTCTCAATTCACAGTCATGTGTGCCGTGCTGTGGAACATTGTTAAATCTAAAAGGAGACATTTTGTGCTTAACAAATATGTTATTTACTTAATAGGCCATGTATTAGTTCCAGAGTGGATGAGGTTGAGGAGGTTTGCTCAACCTCCTTTTCTTAATGTCACATATTACATTACGTTTCAGTGTCAGCTGCAGAACGAGAGCAGAAAGTGAAGGAGCCGAGTTGGTTACTTTGACAGTCACGGGTGCAGATGGTACAATGCAACGGAGCTCAGGAACAGTCAACTTTAACTTCAAAGTAAGTCACGTCCTGCACGCACTCGTTTACACTGACTCAGCCACTGTATGAGGAACCTGCTTGGAAAATGAACAAGCGTCCAAGAATTTTTTTACACTGAAATAGTAATCACGGAATGTATGATCACGAAAGAGGTCTGTTCACGAATGTTCTTTTTTTTAGCAGTGCGGCACCGCATTATGTCAGCTGGAGCAATGATAAGATATACTTTAGCTGAATTAGTTGATAATTTTACACCAAAAATTTTATGTTTGAGTTGAGGATATTTGGAAAAATCCCAGGCATTTGAGTGAATTTCCTCAAACGGATCTCAGATTTACGTTTGAAACGTCAAAATACTTAAAATCAATAATACTTGAGTATTCTATGCACGATTATCTAGCAAATACTTACTTCAACAATAATATAATATAAAAACAATATACTTGTTGTGCAAATTGTGTGAGAGACAAACACAGTTCTAGAAATGTTTTCATCAGATGTATTTTGTTAACAGGACCCAGCTATTACACATGTCCAACCCCGCCTTGGCCCAGAAGACGGTGGGACGGTAGTAAGTGTGAATGGTACAGCCCTCAACACAGGACGCGATATTGAAGCGTTCATCGGCGACAATCCTTGCAACATAAAAGGGTATTTTGTCTCTCTCCTGATACACGTGATTATTCAAATTGTTGCCCATACGGCAAAAATCGGAGCATTGTCCTATTTTCCCCTCTGGAATGACATTTATTGAAGCATTCATTGGAAACAAATAACAGTGTTTTGTACGATCATTATTAATTCAGGAAAAAGAGGGATCTCCCCAACGTTGGTACAATTTCTAGTTTCAACAAAATCATTTAGACTTCTATCAAGCTTCAGTTGTTAAATTTTCCTTTCCCACCTGTGTGGAACGGCTTTTGTTAGTTATATATTTTATTATAAAACTCTACTTTATCCTGTTCTGTAGAATTGCTCTAAATTCGTCCAATTTCTAATTACCTTGCACAATAATTGCTATACATCCATTCAGTATTAAGGAGCATCATACACAGAGAGGAATTCACGTTTACGTCTCTGCAGAAAACTTTACATGGCCTCTGTCTCAAGTGATTTGTTTCTTTCCCAAATTGTAAAGCAAACCGGTTGAATCCATGCTAGAATGCACAACCACTGCTGACCAAGTTGGATATCAAGGTATAGTGAAAGTCTCCTTCGATGGGGCCATGAGAACCTCATCAGATATGTACACGTACACTGAGAATCCCACCATTACTGAGGTGTCTCCTCTGAAAAGCATCGTTTCGTGAGTCTCTAGATTTTTTGTCTGCATCTTTTTTACCATGATGGGCATTTTTGTATAGCTTTTTGGTATAGCTTTTTTGGTATATACTTCAATTTGTATCGACCACATTATTTCTACCTAATTGGTATTACAGTCTGTATTGTCCAATGAAAATGTCTGTGTTTTAAATATTTTTAAACACAAACAACAAAATGAGGGTAAAAAGGGACTTTTGGTCCTGGTATTAGTGAAAATAATGTTATGTTTCTATTGTGAGATACGTTGTCAAGTAGCAAGTTTGCAGCCAAGTTTAAGCATGGCTGTTTAAGAAGCAAACTAACACAACTCTTTTTATTTCTGAAGACTACTGTTAACTGAGTGAACAGTGAAATGTTATGGCTGATTAATAACTTCAAAATGTCATTTGCTGAAAATGTCTGAAAGTGAACATGAGCGTGCAATTCTACATTGTTTAAATTGATGTTACACCAGCCAATATCTTTCAGTGTATAAAATGTATTTTTAGTATTTGCCATCGTGTTTCTAATTGTCAGGGGTGGTCGAATTGTGACGGTTACTGGCACTTTTCTACACACAAGTAGAAACCGTCAAATCGTTGTCATCAATGCAAATGAGGTGAGAAATGTTTTTCATTTAATTTATTATTTCACACGAATAAAAAAAATACATATAAAAATATAAGGATGTACATGTGTAAACAAGTAACTACAATTATGGTAATGAGATGGACAATTAAGTGAGTAGAAAAATAGGTGCATCCCTGCAAGATCACTAATTTGGTATCTGTATAAAGGATTTTATATCTTTCCAATCCCTGCTCAACTTCCCCTTAACCAACAATCTCTATATATCTATTTGCTCCACTCTTCCAACATACATATAATATGGAAACTATTTAAAACTTCTATTTTTCTCTAACCACTAACGAAACTGGCAACTACGTGAAGTGTGACAGCCATTGCATCATTAAAAACGTGTCTGTTTTAAAATAGAAACAAAGAAGGGTGCCTTGTCAACCGGAGCTAATGCTGACCAGAATTGTCAACTTAAGAATGTGGGACTTTATTTTGCAGGAATGTCAAGGTGAATCTGTAACAGAGATGCGGTGCCCGTCTCCTAACATAACAGACCTCAACATAAGCAATGACAACCTGACCTTTGGCTTCATCATGGATGGGGTCACTCAACTGTTGACATGGTCTCAGGATAACGATGCCAGCTTGGAGTACTTTGAGGATCCAATGTATAACAAATTTGAAGGTGGTATGAAGGACAAAGAAGGAGAAACCTTGACAATCACGGTTGGTATACGCGTGTCTTATTCTATGCGCCTATCCTTTCATTGTTTTTTCTATCTGTATAAAGATATGGGGCCTGTCGGTAAACGTGCACGAAGCACACTTATACAGTGCTTTGTAAAGTGAAACACCTCTCATAAGTGACTCAAGATAAATTTAAGTTGATATCTCTTCCTCCTGAATCAAGTGGATCTTCCCAACATACAGTAGGCCTATCTTGGTAATTCTTGCTAAGTTACAAAACTTCATATCAAACTCATATCAGTCATTGCAAAAGCAAATGTAAATGTGATGTGAAATAAAAGTTAAGGTTTTTTTTTTACCTCAGTCCTCACACGGTGTGTAAGAGTACATGTACATGAAAAACGACAGTAGTTCTTACGTGTGATACAGCCATATGACCTTCGTATTTAGAAATAAATAAAAGTGTTGAGCATTAATTGTCACAACCGAAAAGACTAAACTCTTCCGAAATATACCAATGCAGATACCAATAAATTCCCTTTAAAACAATTGAACTGAAATTACCTGTGGATGCTTTGACAGGGCGAGCGGATTGACAGCGCCATCACAGAGGGAGAAATCATCGTGAAGATCGGCGTAGAGAGCTGTCCCGTTAGCCTGATCGCTGATTCAGCACTCGTATGTGAATTGCCCGAGGAGGCACCAGCAGCCGGTGACTACATGGGAGAAGATACCGGGAAAGGTCTGCCTGTGGTATGGGTAAGTAAGGGGCGGATCCATTTTTGAATTGGGGGGGGGGGTAGCTGTCAATTGTTCTTTTCTTTCGAGATTTTTCCTTCTTGTGCGGCCCCAAGGGGGAGGTTTATCCCCTTACCCTCCCCGTATAGATCTGCCACTGTACGCCCTTACAGACTTGCGGGTAATTTTTTATTGTGCTAATTTGATATTATCCTTAAAAACATCTCAAAGAAATGAAGTTTTTCTGAAGCTTTTCAACAAAATTTTAAGTACAATTGTTCAATTGTTTTGACATTATAAATAGTAAACCAATTAGAAAATTGGAATCAGTATTTCTCCGGTCAAAGAATTTCATAATATTCGGTCATTACACTCCCGAAATCTGAAGAGAAGACCCCTCTGGCTGTAAAATGACCAAGAAAACCGGCTCATCTAGGATTGGATATTATTAAGCTAGGTTTAAACATTGTTCCCCAGATGGATTGAACATCTGTATTACTCAATCCGAAAGGTTAAAAAACACCCAACAATCGGCCAGTTCTCCCAAAAACGTAATTACACTACTTTGTCATTGTTGATTGTTCCTTCAAAAGTGAATAATATACCGTCGACATTAACAAATTGGGTAAGTCTAATATGTTTAATCGTTTATTTAAGTCTATGTTGAATCGTTTATTATTTCATTTGTGTTATTCCATAGGTTCGCCACAATAACTTAAAATTTAGGTTGGGCTATTTGGTCTATCCCAGTACGGTGCCACTTGTCGCTATACTTGTACCGAGTTTGGTCATTCCACTCTCCATGGCGATACTGCTCGCTGCTACCTTCGTGTATTGCAAACAATTGCAAAGGAAGCGTACCCACGACAGAAGACTATTGGGCAGGATAGTGGCGATTCATCTCGGTAAGTGCTGGTGGCAAGAGATGACTTCAGTTTACTCGAATATTTCATTCCTGAGTACTAGAAACAGGTGCACAAAACTGCGGTGAAGAGAGAGCATCTTCTCAGTCTATATGAGTATGCTCTTGTAAGTTAAAATCACTTGATCGCAAGACGGCGAAATGGTAAACAACACGAAACCCTTTCAAATTTCAAAGCCAATCATCCTTCATCACTTGTCTCTACCGGCTACTTGTCAATTCCTAATTTTCAAACATAATTATGATAGTTTAGAAAAAAATAAACAGTACGTAGCTGCACATCTCCGTATTAAATTATGTTCTACTTCTAAAAAAAACTCTCAAGATGGCTGCTAACGGGCAGCCGGTTTTGATGGTAAAATACATGGCAAAAGAATTCAAATGGCGTGCTCCTCATTTAACTGTAAATTGTCAAGTTGTAGACAGGATGAAATAAATTCTCTACAAAAACAAAAATAAATATAGAACTCTTTTTGTCAAGATTGTGTTTACCATTGTAGACAACTTGTGAATCTTGTGTAGCATGCAAAGGTTGTTTTTTCTGTTGATTTGTAAGCCTGAACGTGCTCGTAAACTAACGTGCTCGTAAACTTACCACTATATTACGTTATTTACTGTTCATGCGACATTGTATCTCTTTTCTTCAGAAATTGATTCCCACGTCAAGAGACGCAGGTGGTATAGATCCCAGAAACAGTCGGAATCTGCTCAGCCAAAACAAAAGCGCATTGTCCTGAACAACAAGGTCAGCTTCGTTCCCGACGACATTCATATCGACTTCAGCCAACTGGAATTGGGGGAAACTCTCGGACAAGGTAGTGACTTTGTACGACGAAACTATGAACATTTCATGAGTTCAAAGTGTAAGCTGTTATTTTACCTGAGAAGGAGAGGCCTACATAAAGGGGCTGTGTGTGCAAACCGTTATTGGCGTGATTGAAACACATTTTCACGTTTCGACGTTTAGGAAATTATTTGGACTCGGCCAGTCGCTGGGTCTATTAGTATATCGGTAGGTCGGTTGGTCTGCCAGCTGGCTAGTCTTCGTATCAGCAAAAGATAATCAGCAAAGATGAGTATAAAACACTTGAATAAATTTTACAGGTGCATTTGGGCGTGTACTGAAAGCTGTTCTACACGATACGTCAGGGGAAGATCAAATTGTGGCCGTAAAGACAGTGCAAGGTTGGTGATGAGAATGTCGGCCATTTGTGAGAGATGTTTTCTATCACAGTATCATGGATTCAAAACAAAGCATTGAAAAGTTGTTCCTCGGTTAAAAAAGGGCCCATTTCAGAATGGTATGCATTTTGGTCTTGATTATACTTGTTACTGATTAGAGTTACAGAAGAGGTGTTGGCTACCGAGAAAAAACATTAATCAATGTGCGTCTTCACTGAAAGAGCCGAAAGAGTCTTTTCATTTAGAATTGCGAATTGTTGGTTGTAAAAAGTGTCTCTGGGTTATTGCTTTTCTCTGGTGATGAAAATAAGATGAAATACAAGTTCCTGTTTTTGTGTTGTAGCTTGGCCAAATGTAAGTTGGGCGTGCCAGTTATCACATATAAATGCCTTACTTTTGCATGTATAGACACCTCGGACCCGAAAAATGTGGTGAAGTTCCTGGAGGAAGGCCTGATCATGAAAACCTTCGACCATGTCAACGCACTGGGGCTTCTGGGGTTGACCTTTGACGCGGTCAAAAACCCCTTGGTGGTGATACCCTTCATGGCAAACGGTGACCTCAAGACATATCTGGTCAAGAAGAAACAGGTATGTAGTCAAGAGCGATCAATGTCGATAATAAATAGAGGAAGGTTTGATAAAAAATTGGTGATGAGTGGCATGCGTTTGGAACTCACTTAATGGTGATTTTGGTAGATGTTGTTACGTTTAATAATTAATAGTTCACTCGCGAGATTTGTTAAACAAAATGCTGCCCCATTTCGTAAACAGTATGTCATGTGTTTTGTTATGAGTGTGGTATTTATTTATTCATTAGAGGTTTTTACTTTCAATTTAGACCTTGGCGACATCTCTGCTGATGAGGTTTGCCTCACATGCCGCACTCGGTATGAGTTACTTGGCTCAGCACAAGTTTGTCCACAGAGATCTTGCGGCCAGAAATTGCATGTAAGTGTATCCTCTCTTCTATATCATCCGGGGCTTTTACACATGTCTTTATATGTGTGTTTGAGTAAAAGCAAAATGAATGTTACGAGAAATCGGTCAGCTGTTTCATCGAAAATAATTTTAATGCACCAGAGATACCAAGGGACATGCATTCATTGAATTAACTCCAGAGTTCGAATTAATGGCATTGCAATTCTTAAATGATGTGACCCCAAAGTAAGATCAACTTTTAACAACCTCTTTAGGGTGAACAGTGATCTTCTGGTGAAGATAGCGGATTTTGGTCTATCCCGTGACATGCACGAATCGGATTACTACACAAGCGGTGATGCCCAGGCTAAGCTGCCTATCAAATGGATGGCTCCCGAGTCCATGGAACGTCGAGTGTACAACGCCAGGACTGACGTGGTACGCAATTAAATCCATCTTTGATTTAATGTTAGATGATGTTTAGATAAAGATCTTAACGGAAAAGAAAGCAAAACACATCTCTTTGCGTTCTGTGGAACTATCCTTCGAAGAGAAACTACATGAACTTCGATGTCCGGTCATGAAATGTCAGTTTATTGATAATTTACATCGGGTATGTTTTCAAGGCGCCTGACCCTCATTAGCTGGAGTATTTCGTCTTAAGACGCCCACCTCGAACTGATTTCTAAGTTAACTTAGTAATGAACGTTTTTATTTCAATTTGACACAAGATCTCATTAAACAGTTCAATAAAGACTCAAATACAATGTAGTTTGGTCAATCTTCGTTAATCTTGGCTACTCTTTCCAGCTTGCTCATGTCAACTGTTCGGTAGCTCAATTGAACAGTTATCATTCGAATGGTCTCTAACATTGACAAATATTTGTCTTCTTTGGTTTTCTACAGTGGTCATATGGTGTGCTCCTGTGGGAGATTTTCAGTACGGGTGCCAAACCGTATCCAGGAATACCCAACCAAGATGTGTATGATTTCTTGAAGAGAGGTCAACGCATGGATGCTCCCCAGAACTGCCCGCCAGAAATGTATGGTCAAACAGCGGTCACCATTACCTTTAAATAATAACACATCTAATGCCGTTTTAACTTCTGTAAAAGTATGCATGATTCTTTTATATTTTGCTCAAATTTTTCTGAAGGTGAAGGGATCTTAATGCATCTATTTTACTCTCAAAGGTTTTACATAATTGAAAGTAGGTATAACACTCTCTAGTTGTGAGAAACAGTGAAGATTGTTTTATTTGGGGTTTCAAATAAAAAAAGGGAAACTCAATTCTCGTGAACAGTTTTTCTCAAAAATGTAGGGTTAATGTGCTCGAGTAATCAGTAATAATGGAAAGTGTATTGTCGGGGGTTTCAAGTAAAAGTGCAAACACAATGTGATATACGATCAAGCATGCAGCATCTAATGATTCTTGTTACATTTGCTGACTGATACAGCTACGGCATAATGGTACGTTGCTGGCAGGACAACCCCAAATCGCGTTGCACCTTCGTCCAAGTTGCCAACGAGCTGGAAGAACTGTTGGAGGGAGACCGTGACTACGTAGCAGCTCCTAGTGCGGGTGTGGTTGGTAAGCGACCCATCGAACATCGCGAAGAACCTGGTGCCACAGACGACAGCTATCTGGTCCCGATGCAGCAGGAGACCGCCTTTGGTGCTGACGGCCCGTGTAGTGACGGAGAAACCAGCGGGAGCCATGCGACCGCCGCCCATGATCCCTTGGATTATGTCAATAAAATTGTCATTAGATAAGTACTGTGCAAATTAATTGCAAATGATAACTTGCTGATTTGGAAATTTCTGCACAGATTCCTGCAAGCTGCACAAAGCATTGATATAAAAAAGGGGTGAAGTTATCAGGAAATTAACGACTGTCGGTATCGCCAGAAAACTAGAGGGAACAAACAATACTAGCAATGTTATTGTATTTAACGTATTGTACACAGATTTTTCCAGCATTACATGATTGACATTATATATTTGGAATACCTGTAAAGGAGTAATATTCTTAGTGGAAAGATGGCACGTGCATATTTGCATTCTTCTGCAAAATAAATATGAAATGTAGCTCATTTTATTGAAACGATATCTTGTTTACCTTAAAAATTTACATTTTGTTTGGTGAAAGGACAGTCTTATGTCGAAGGTGTTCTTTATATGCAAGGTATTGGAAGCTGCTCAATGGTTGTCTAGTAAATGTTCAAAAACAACTTGACATAATAGGTTAAAAAAAACACCAGAAACAGTTGGTAAATTCCTGCGAAAAACTTATTTTAAAAAGTCGTGGAGTTAGATCTGACAATGATTGTAGTTAGCACTGAGTGCTGTATAAATGCTTATATTCGGTATTCAATTGACTTAAGATAATCTTGCTTTTGGATCATTATTTCATTTATTTGATACACGGATACACATTTAATCATTTTTTTAAATTCAGATTATTAGCATTGCATAGTAACTGGTGTATTGCTAACATAGCCAATATTGAGATTCTGTTGAAAATGTCAAGACAAATTTTAGTTCAGATGTGTTGCATCACGTACAATATTACAGGTTAAGTTTAATATCAAATTATTACGCAAAGGACAACATTTATATAGGTTTGGGTGAGGCAAGAATGCTTTTGAAGCCTAACCTAGGGACAGACAACAGGACAGACAGGACAAAGGACTACAACAGCGAATGAGTGTGCATGCAGGTACTAAGACATAACATTCATGGGCGTCGATAGGGGGGGGGGGCAAGGGGGGGCACTTGCCCCCCCCCCCCCTTGAAAAGCAACAAAAAAAAAGGAAGGAAAAAAAAAAAAAAAAAAAAGAGGCGCGAAGACAAAGTGGTGTAAATGTAATGAGTGGGGGGGGGGGAAATGTCCCTGCCCCCCTCTAAAACTGATAAATCGAGAATGTGTTGAGAAATACAAGCATTTTTTGGCAATTTTTTTGCCCCCCTCTTGAAAAAATCCTGGCGACGCCCATGATAACATTACGAGATAAATTAACATAACAGTTATAAACATAACAGTTATAAATATGCATCAAGAAGTTGTTTTTTTTCTTCAGTTTTTCGACACATATAGTTTGTGATGGTGACTTTTTCAAAGATTTTACTAAGACTGTTCCAGTAATTTACACCACGTTGAATAGGACTGTTTTTAAACAAGGACGTTCGACTGTAACAAACATGGATATTTTTTCTAGAAGCACTTCGAGTATTGTGTGAATGTATGTTTGATGATAACGTAAAATAGGCCTATGAGCTAAAACAAGCAGGTAATGAATTATTCATGTACATAAATTTACCTTAATTTAAGTAGTAAATGTCTTTAATTCGTAACAGTTTTAGATTTGCAAATAAGCTAGCAGTATGATCACGGTGGCCAACATTAGAAATGATGCGAACAGCTCGCTTTTGTAACAACAAAAGTTTGTCAAAATTTACTGAGGAACTACCCCAGTTTAGAACTGAAAAGTTAAAAAATGGGAGAACTAAAGAATCATAAAGCATAACTAAAATGTTGCTTGGAATAGGAACTTTAAGCGATTCATTATACCAACGTTTTTGATATCTTGCTCTAGATATCACTTATGTGTTTTTTCCATGTAAGATGTTCATCCATTGACACACCAAGAAATTTGATAATCGTGACACGATTTAAATTATATCATTTAAAACAAGTGGAACAGATTGGGTTTACTTTTGTTGTCTTCAAGAAAATATCATATAGTTAGTTTTAAACAGATTTATACACAATTTGTTTGCTAAAAGCCAAGTGACTAATTTTTTTTAAGTTCAATATTACACCAAACTTGTGTTATCCGCAAACAAGCAGAATGATATGATGTCAGATGTATAAGATATATCGTAAATATACAGAATAAATAGTAGAGGACCTAATGTAGAGCCCTGGGGAACACCACAGTGGATAGATTGCTGGTTTGAATTTACAGAGTTATAAGAAACAAATTCTTTTTGTTCAGATAAGTAACAGTTTAAGGCTATACACCACGAATACCATACTTTTCCAGTTTACAAATTAAGATTTCACGATTAACTGTATCAAAAGCCTTGGAAAGGTAAAAAAAAATACCAATAAAAATGTACCATCATCTATGGCTTTGAGCAACTTATGAACAACATACGACGTTGCTAGTTCAGTTGATCGCTTTTCCCTGAATCCGAATTGCGATTCGGACAAAAGGTTATGTTTATTTATAAAAGTTATAAGACGATAGTATATTATTTTTTTCAAACACTTTTTGAGAATGTAGATCATACTGTTTTAGGTCTATCATTACTAATATTATGTTTGTCGCCACTCTTATATATTGGTGTGACCTTTCCTATCTTTTGACCATTTGGAAAAACACCTGTAACCAGAGACTCATTAAAGATACAAGCAAGTGGCTTTGCTAAGACATACTAAGCCTGTCTGATAACAAAAGCACTTAGGCCATCAAAGGTAGGGGCCTTTCCATTAGGAATTTTGTTAAGAATGTCTACAATTTCTTTTGCAGAATAGGTTTTAAAAAAAAGAGAGTTTACCTGTCGATCACAAAGAAAAGATGCAAATGTGGCATTACGTAATGGTAGATTACTTGCAATTCTAGAGCCAACGGTAAAAAAATACTCATTAAATGCATCAGCAATTTCTTTGTTATAATTGTCAATCGTTACACCATCTTGAACAAAATGAGAGGGATTGTCTTTTCGCTTACCCTTATCCAAGTTCCTTTGATATTACCCTTTTCCTGGTTATTTTATTTTGCTAAAATAGCTTTTCTTGGATATTTGATTAAGGGATTTAACTTTTTTTTATACAGAGTATAAATAGATTTATTTTGAGAAGTAGGATTTTGTAGAATTTTTTTATAGAGATAGTTTTTTTTCTTATTGAATTATAGATACCATCTGAAAGCCAGGTGACTTATTTTTGTTCCATCGAACTTTACCTCTTGGAGTGGAAAATGTTTATCATAAATTTCAAAAAATGATTTAAAAAAGAGTTATACATATCACGAATGTCGTTCATTGATGTAATAAATGACCAATCAGTTGTACTTAATTCATTTACAAAATGTTCAATATTGTTACTATTAAAATCACGTTTTCTATTATATCTTTGTTCATCTTGTACCTTCTCTCTGAAACTCTCAATAATGAAAAAATACTGGTAAGTGATCACTAATATCAGTTACTAAAACACCAGCAGTATGGTTATGTAGGTCATTAGTTAAAATGTTATCAATCACAGTTGCACTACTTTCAGTAACTCTTGTAGGTTTATTTATAGTAGGATAAAATTGAGAAGATAGCATGTCAATAAAGTTATGTACTGCATTGTTTGTGTCATACTGCAATAAGCTAATATTGAAATCACCCATTATAAAACACTTTTTGTTTTCATTGCTAATATTTCAAAAAATGTCATTCATATACTCTGAGAAATTATCACATGAAGCACTCGTCTTATTTCCGATTAACATCATCTCGTTCAAAGCACGTTTTGTAGCCAAATTGGGCTGTTCCAGGACCTGTGTCCCTTTAACTTTTCTAAAAACATGAGAAGAAAATATAAAATTAGAAGAAAAAAAATAATTTCGAGCATTATGAAATTCAGACTTTATTTCAAAGCCTCAGATTAGAAAAGACAACAATTTAGGGTGCAATATGAGGGAAATAATAATAATATACCTGCGTACGTATCACAACAGTGTCGTAGAGGGCGCTTTGGGAAATGTCGTAGAGGGCGCTTTGCGGATGTCGTTTTGGGAAAAGAAAATTCGCCGCCCGGACCCCAAAACCATTATCACGAACCATCGCTGATAAAGGGCACAATCACACACAGACCGCTATCAGCCACAAACCGCTATCACACAAAGCAATCACACACGAACCGCTATCACAGGAGCGTCTCGGGAAACTGGTGCGATATCACGTTACAAAAAGGCAGTGACCTCAACATGCATAATCAACAAGGGTTCCATCGGAAATACGCAAGCGCAAAAAAAACCCACAATAATACTGCGTAATGAATGACATATCAGTCTGGTACAGTTCGTCTGCGTTCATATCGTATATGTATGGTGGCCCTGAAGGGACATCGCATATCGCAAACGTGTGCGCATACGTATGCGATGTTGCGGAATTTATCGCGAATGTGTGCGCACACGTATGCGATGTCGCGAAATGTATCGCGAATATATGCGCACACGTATGCGATGTCGTGAAATTAATCGCGAATATGTGCGCACACGTATGCGATGTCGTGAAACAATTCGCGAATATGTGCGCACACGTATGCGAATTTGTTTGCAATGTCGTGAATTTTATTGCATACTTTGAAATTTGCGCGCACAAGTTTCAAACTTACGCGCCCAAATTTCAAAGTTGCGCAAGTAGCAAGTTTGTGCTCGACAGTACTAGTAGTAACGATTGCACGAGGAACAGCGTGCGCGCGAAGGTTTATTAGTCAGACCCTATTTACATCTAACAGTACGTCTAGATTCCAGACTAGCTGCTACAACTCCCCAGTTCATTGAGAATTTTACTGAAAGGTATGCGACAAGGTATGCAATAAAATTCACGACATTGCAAACAAATTCGCATACGTGTGCGCACATATTCGTGATTAATTTCACGACATCGCATACGTGTGCGCATATATTCGCGATAAATTTCGCGACATCGCATACGTGTGCGCACATATTTGCGAATGTTTCACGACATTGCATACGTGTGCGCACACATTCGCG